TATATATATATATATATATATATATATATATATATATATATACATATATATATTTATATATATATACATTATATATATTTATATATATATATATATTTANATCTGATCAGCAACATTCGCTTAAAAATCATGGTTCTCCTAACACGTAGTGGTGCTAGGGCGCTGAAACAGAATACCGTTGTATATGATATAGATTCTGACGAGGAATTTGAAGATGCAGATCAAACAAGCGGTGAGGAATCAAACTCAGAGGATGATAGTGATGAGGGCGGAAATGACAAGAGCGGTGGCGGTGATGGACATCAGGATAATTTCTATGGTAATGGTGAGATCGACGGGGGTGATATACTAGCATACGAAGATGTATATGGAGTGGACAGCGAAGGAGACGATAGTTTAGATTCAGATGAACCCTTGCCTGTATTTTGTCATGTACTGAAAGATATATTCCATCTGATGGATCTAATCAAGGTCAGTAAGAAACATGCATATCACTACCTGGCAATTGTATCGCGATGCATTATTTATCGACAATGCTGATGCTAAACGTGCGGTCGTCGCTGTTCTAGACAAACAAGGCAAGACCTTTAAAAGCATGCTCAAATCTCAGCGTAAGCGGAGGTACATACGGAAACGGGCACCACGCATTGTCCCACGTCCAAGTGTGTTAGACAGCGCAACAAATGAACCTTTTTTCAATGATGAGGCACGGAAGAAAGCGTTGTAGGTACTGGGATTGATTGAGAAAGGATACGTGTCAGATCCACCGGGCGTTCAAATGTACACTCATATCGGAGGAGATAGAGATGGATTGACGCTGTATAAGTACCCTCGAGGTACTAACAGTATGGAGTCGGGTGTGCATCAAGCTGTGAGTAGAAAATTCGGGTGTAAGATAGTAAGCGGCAGAATTTCAGACAATGTTTTAGCCTACTTTAGACAAGCATAATTATAGGCAGGCTGTGTGTAGGTTAGGAGTACCGGACGTAGGGCATTGCAACACTCAGTTGGTCGATAAATGCGCCATGCTCTTCTCAGAGCTCACAGGTGAAGCGTATCGTATAAGGCCATACGCTAGTAAGGACTATCGTTCGGTAGGAAATCTTTGGCCACGTCTAAATGATTACGTCCCCAAAAGTGAAATCTTTGGCATCGCCAATCTAAGCCACTTATTCGATGGTGAAATCACGGACGAGCTCAGGAATCGAATCAGACAGGAAGGTATAGCCAAGGATCACGCCCATGTAGCTAGTGATCAAGGACTACCATGTATATGTCGGGATATGCAAACAATAGAAGAATGGCTACTTTTTAAGAAACTCAATCGTGAATTGAATGCAGAGAATCTTAAGCTGGGCTCGCAGGCATATATGGAAGCACTGAAGAAACGGTGGATTTCTAAAGTTGATGGTCGGAATATTGTTCTGAAACTCCCGGTACACTTCGAGACGGCGTTAGTTCATCTCAAGAAGCGAGCTGCTGTACATAAATCTATTACCGAAAATCAACGGAACGTTACTGGTCTTCATCGTGAGTTGATGAGCGATGTTGTCTCTGAGAGGATTACAACCAAAGCAATGAATTTAGAATTAGCACAAGCTCAAAGATTTGAGGCGGCGAATCCACCTGCAGCGGACCCAGGACTTACTGTTGGCAATATTGACGCACAGTTTCTGCCGCCCCTTGGCCATGCTCATGGTACTAGCCACCTGCCCAGACCCGTAGCAATGGAAGAACCTGTAACCGGTGGAAATCGGGAGCGTAGAAAAGGCAAGAGAGCTAGACACGAGATGCCGGTGAGACTACCACACGACGACTTTCCCAGTACACACCGTAGATCCGACGACTCTCCGTCTCCAGACCCTGGATCATCTGTATAATCACAGCACAAAAATACTGCTATACCCCCAGCTGTCTGGTGTATGCAACCCCAACAATCTCAAACGGTCGTACAACCAAATGGGCAGGCATCACAAATCTCTATACCGGCAGTGCAGTATTATTATCCTGCTGTAGGATGGTATATAAATGAAACATCATATATCCCTAGGATAAGAACTGGTCGGATAGAAAAACCCAAAATGCGTACGCAGCGCAAACGATGTTCGAAGTGCACCGACAACGAAACGTGCAAAAAGCCATATGGTGGCGTTTGCAATGAAGACATGTGTGAGCAGTTGACATCTTTTAATAAAATAAAAGATATGTGTTTACATTCATTCAATCTTAATCAATAACATCGATGTATTACAGGCAACAAGATAAGGCACACTGTCGAAACTGCCGTGTGTCTCGTGTCTCGTGCCATCCTGGGTCACCTTTGGGTAAAGAAGAGCTGCAGCTGGATTAAGTACCTTCATAGCTTTTACAATTCGTCGATTAAATGTAAACTCTACTACTGCATCACCACCAAATGCGACGTACATGTCAGTTTTATTGCGTGCCTATCTCATTGATTAACTTACAATATGTTAAATCCACTTAACTAACACAGAGTATCCCTTCCGCCGCAATTTCACTCCCGGAACGAGTGTACAGATTAAAAAATCCTGTAGTATCTGTTGATTTTATAAGATTCGATCTATCAAGGCGACATTAACGCCTTAGAGTAATTAAACGCTTAAGTTAAGTCTAAGTATAATTAAATTCGAAGTAAATGAACGAAATGAGTCTTTTAGTAAAGTTAGGTATGCCTCGTGAAAAAAGCAATACTCTGAGGGATTGTGAGGCTGAGACATTGTCTATATAATATCCTCTCGGTACTGTTTTCGCCGAAGGAATTTTATTTAGTGTTTCGTTGTCGCTCTATTAGAAACTATGGTATGTTTCGTTGGGGCGAATCCGAGAGACTCATAAAATCCTTTCTTTAGAAGAAGAAAAAAGAAGAAGAAAAAAAAGAAAAATACTCTTGATGTCCATAGTTATTGTATTAACCAATAACTTGCCACTTATCAAGAATTACCGACTTAGCCTTTATCAACTGGCACATCTGGTTGGCTGAACAGAGGATAAACTAAGCAACGCTAATAGTCCTTAGAAACCTATGTTCGGTTGAGCCATCTCGCTACCGAAGTATTCAGAAAATATAGTTCTATTAAAAGAACTAGACCAAATCTTATGTTTGGTATTTTACTGGGGCCTTTTAATGGCCTTGTCCAAATATCTGATATGTAAAACGGAAAAGGTATTTAATTAGTAACAACCGTTAAAAGCCATTTAAGGAAAACTTAAGTTTACGTACTTTTAAGAGTACGTTTTACATACTATTAAGAGTACGTTTATATTACATGATTATAATGTGGAAGCCCAGCTTTTACACAGCCCCCACCCAGCATTGAGACCCAGGAGAAGCAAGTTGCTCACTCAAGTTGATTATGGGTCAAAAGTGAGAAAGGGAAACGGGTCGAAAACATTAATCAGCATAACGTATAGTTAATGTTTCTCAGGTGGAGAAGTTAAACGTTCTCGGTTACCCTGTGAGTTTTGGGTTTAGGTCCAGTAGGTCCTTGGTGGTCGACATGACGTTTCTTACGCCTCAATGTTTTTGGAACATACGAAGGATGAGCAGTAAAGCTCGGGATGAACGCTGTTGGCGAGTAAGTTTTAACTTCCGTGTCTATAGACGATGGGAACATGCTATCTTTTTCAGCCTGTGACTTCTGTAGGCATTTACGCCATTTTCTATAAAGGCCTTTCAATAGTCCTGATTGTCAAAGGCGTCTGAAGTTAACTCAGCGATTGTACCGTCTATAAAGCGTGTACGATAGTATGTATATCCTCCTTTATCCGTTCTCCATATAATATCTTTGAATTCGGAGCGGTCAAGAGGTGCAGTAGAATCATGTCTTCTTGCGAGAATAATCTCATTAGTTGGAATTCGACTAGTGCCTATATTCAAAGCACAAGAACCGTCGGGGTTATTAACCTCATAGGTTCTACTTTTAGTGTCGGCTATAGAGATTATATATGGACCGATCCATTTCGATGTTAGTACAGTAGCATCGGAATTACGTTGACTGATGTTAGCACTGTCTCCAACCTGATACTCTGCCTTTTTAAAAAGGCCACATTACGTGTCTCTCACAAGCAAGGATATACAACGTTGCGTATGCGTTGTACCTTCTCTAACCATGGTAGCTCTTGGTGATCAGGTTCGTCCTTGTTAAAGGGTATTTGTAACTCACTATATCTGCCACGAAAATAGTGAGCGGGTGTTGTTCCTGTAACCGGATCAGCACACTCGTTCATCTGTGTTTGTACCCACTTAAGGTGGTACGGCCAATCATCTGCACCATCCGTTAATGCAGTACGTAAGAAGAACTTAAGTCTTCCGTGGCGCGTTTCATTAGCGCCTTGTGTTTGCGGTTTATATGGTACACCCCTTTTATGACACATGCCTGATACGAGTACTAACGATTCCATTACGTCATCGCAGAACTCGCTACCGTTATCAGTGCACATTATACCTGGCCACCCGTGGTCAGCAAAGACTTGGCAACATAATTCTGCCACGGTCTGCGTACTATTGTCCCTGAAAGGATAGAGCAAGTTATACCGTGACGCCACATCAAAGAAGTGGCATACGTAACGGTCGCCTGTGTGCTTGGACGTAGGCAGGTCAACCAGATCAATGATGACTCTGCGCCATGGAACATCTTCAGGCACACTCTTAAGAGGTGCGAAACCATAGCGCTTGATCTGATTGAGATCACAGTCTGTGCATGACTGATATACTCTGTCAACTAAAGTTGCCAGCTTACGGTGCGCGATCCCATGTCGCTTAGCATCTTTAAGTGCTTCCACTACGTTCTGGTGCTTCAGCTTATGATTTTGTGTCAGCTAAGCAAGAATGTTTTTATCATTCTGCTCCTCCAGAATAAAGGTAGGGTGTTGAGAATCCACTTGTGTGGTCTCTAAGTCTGTAGTGTTTCCAGACTCCTGTCCTTCTTTCGCATGAGTGTCATGAGTGCGCTCGTGTGCGTTTGATACACCTGTCTTATTTAATTGTCGCATTATATGTGTATATGCTTCGGGATTATCTTTCATTAATCCCTTTAAAAATAGGGTTTGAAAGACTTCGGGCTTGGACTTTATGTTATTAAACAGAGTCCTAGCTAGAGACTGACGCTTCTTAACAGCAGTGTCATTAGTAGATTGTGTTTCTTGTGCACAGACTTCAAGTGCTATATTGCCTTTGAATTGCTTAACGTTCAATCTAGTGGAGAGTGCCTTTGAATTGCTTAAGGTTCAATCTAGTGGAGAGTGGAATCTCCGATTCTTTGACCTTTTTAAGGAAGATCTCAGAAGGGGTCCATTTGGTTGTTCCAATGGGACCTATACGACATATTATAGTATGTCTCCAGGGCGTCTTCTGGACGGCTCGGGTACCCTGATATAGGAAAGTATCTACTTCCCTATCTAAATATATTGGCTCGCATTGTATCATACTTATTAATGTATTGAGCCATGGATCTTTACTCCGTAATGGGCAACAACGTGATGGTAGCTTTGTGTATATGAACATAATTTAGTAATTGGGCAATTAACTGCCATGGTGGATTAGCCCACGCATTATGTTCGGAGAGGTCAAGTTGAAAGGCATCTCCTAAAGGATGATTTTAAAGTCCTGTAATTCTTAAGTTGTGCATTATGCTGTGCAGCAAACATGTCAACTGTTTGTGGCCCAAATATCTTTTGAGCCAGTTCAAACCACCTGGGGTTATATTTCCAATCAGTGGCTAGTAACTCACGTACGGATTTATTAAAATCAGGTACAAAGCGTGATAACATATCCGGTAAATGGTTATGTATCCCTGGTAGATGTTTGATATCGAAATGAAACTTTGATATTGTATCATGCCAGCGACTCAGTAATTGTGAGTCGGGTTTCATCTCTTTCATATATTGAAGAGATTTCTGATCACACATCAGCGTAAATGCTGTTCCGTATAAGTAATCTCGGAAGTGTGATAGCTCTTGTTTAACAGTTGGATAATTCAACTGCGAAGCATTCATTGCTCGACTAAAGAATTGTATATATCTAGGTTTGTTATTTTTAACCTGATATAATACTCCTCCTAAGGCTAAGTCGGAGGCGTCCGTTGCTGTTTCAAACGGCACGCCATCGACTGGTCCTTGTACAACTGGGGTTTGTTGAACTGCGTGTTTGAGCGCTTTAAATGCGTCATCACACTCTTTAGTCCACAAGTCTCCTAGTTTGCCTTTATGACATCTTAAGTGTCCAAAAGGTTTAAGGTAGTCAGCTAAGTGTGGTACTCCATTTGTAAAGAAGTTTACAAACCCACACATACTGTTTACATCTCTTCCTGTATTTGGTTTTCGCCAATCTAACATGTGTTCTACCTTACCGAGGTCGATCTTAATACCTTCCTCAGATATATGGTAGCCTAAGAGCTGTATTTCGCTCATTGCGAAGTGACATTTCTTCTCGTTAATCTTGAAGTTTTGCTCATTGAGTCTCTTAAGGACTCGTCTGACTAATGCGGCGTGTTCGCCCTTAGTCTTAGAAAAGATGACTATGTCATCTATATAGACTTGCACGTTAAGCATGTCTGCAAATATTTCCTCCATTACTTGTTGGAAGAATGCTGGTAAGGAGTGCAACCCGAAAGGTGCACCTCTAAACCTGTATTGTTTACCTTCCCAGGTAAAACTAAAGTACTTACGATGGGGTTCATAAATTTGCATTTGATGGTACCCCTGTGTTAGGTCTATGGATGTGAACACCGTAGCACCTTCCATTCGTCTCAGTAACTCGTGTATACGAGGGAGATGGAAACTATGAGACGGCAATAACTTATTTATTGGACTCATATCTAGACATACTCTGACTTTCTTAAATTTTCCGTCAAGAGTTGGG